ATTGAGGCCATAATTAACTGAACTCAACTGGCCTTAGATGACACTGCAGCTGATCCCTCTCCTAAATAAAAAAGGTAAAATTAATAAAAACAAGCCATCCTCCAAAATCAGATGGCAGTAGACATTCTAACAGCACAGAAAATACTTATATAATTGCAAAATCTAAACATGTGTATGACAAATGAATGACATGTCAGTTTCTAAAATTCCCTGGACCTTATCCTTATCCTCCTTATGGGAAGCGATTACTAAAATTATACTCATAAATATTCTGTTGATTCTATTATTTGGCTCCTGCATACTTAATTGATTCTTTGCCTTTATCTCCTGTAGACTTAAAGCTATCCACCTGCCCAAGATGAAAATGCCTGTTATCTACTGAGAGCCACTAGTCAAAAGCTCTGCAGAGTATCCCTAACTGCCGTTCAACAACTTCAAACCCTTCAGCCTGAGGAAGGCAGATCAGCCATCGCCCTTTACCTCTCATGGCAGATTGTGTTACTTCTTCAAAGAAAAACACTATAGGCAGCTAAGTCAGTTAAAAGTATAGGCAGTCAGACAGAGCTAGGGGCTCAAAGGAGCCAACACAGAGGCCCTGATGTCGTGTGACCTTGGAGGAGACAGATACCTCCTGCTGTGCCAGCTCCCAAGACAAAAGACTAAACTTGGCCCTCAAACCCCACAGGGAGATCTTCTTAATATGGCTTTTCATGTCTTCAACAACAGAGATAAAAATCAAAAGGAGGAAAAATAACAAACTGACCTTTTAGCAGTGACACTTAAAGCTCTAAGACAGGTAAACCAATAGAAGACTCCCAGACTATGCTTCAAGCGCAAGAAAAAGGACACTAGGCAAGAGAATGCCCCTTCTGCAATCTCAAGGGCAATTGGAAGAGCAATTGTCCTGGCCGCCAGAGAGTGGGTTAGCCATCCTCTAACTCTCTGCCCTCATAGCAGATCTCATCACCACTGGATTCACCACTGGCTGATCTACTTGGACTTGCTGCTGAAGACTGACGGGGCTCAGAGCCCACAGACCCCATTAAGGTAGCCTTCTCAGGCTCCCAAGTCTCACTGGAGGGCTCAGATAAGACATTCTCTGTACTTTTAGGCACAGAGACCATGTATAATGTTCTTCCTGAGTTTTATATTAAACCCTCAGTCTCTGTAGTGGGTGTTGACAGCCAACGTACACAGCCTCTACAACAGGGCCCATTCCATGCAGGTCCCAAACTCTCCTCCTCACCCGTAGCTTTCTAGTAATTCCAACATGTCTCATACCTCTTTCAGGTAGGGATCTTCTTCAAAACCTTAACCTCCTTTACCTTCTCCCTCTCCATAGCTCTCATCCTCCAAACACCCTCACAGTGCACTGCAAAGCCATCACCTCCTCTCCCTTCTTCCCTTGTTGATCCCATAGTTTGAGACACCTCCAACTCCACCAATGCCATCCCTGCCATGCCTGTTTTAACTCATCTCTGGGGTCCTTCAATTTTTCCTTGCATTCCCCAATATCCTATAGCTCCTAGGCATTTATGGGGACTTAAACCTATAATCAAGCATCCTTTAGACAATGGTTTTCTTAAACCTATCCATTCACCCTATAATACTCCCATTCTCCTGATACTCAAGCCTAATGGGTCTTATTATCTGGTACAAGACCTTAGGGTTGTAGGGTAATCAATGATGCTGTTATCCCAATTCACCCACTGGTGCCACACCCTTATACTATGTTCTCTCATATTCCTCCCTCCACCACTCACTTCATAGTCCTAAACCTTAAAGATGCCTTTTTTTTTAACCATCCAGTAAACCCCCATTATCAGGATTGCTTTGTGTTTATGTAGACTGACCAGACACTCTCAAGTCTCAACAACTCAAACTTGCCATCTCTATATTTGAACCACTCCTCAGGGACACATACCAGCCCCTTCCTTTCCTACTCATCAATTTCATGGACCCACTTCTGGTCAGGACTTGCAGATAGATTTTACACACATGCCCCACCACAAAACTTTCAAATAACTTCTTACTTTGGTTTATACTTTTTCAGGATGGATAAAAGCCTTTCCCACAACCAGGGAGACTGCTGATATAGTTACTAAAGTCCTGTTACAAGCAATCATTTCAAGGTTTGGTCTACCTGAGTATCCAGTCAGATAATGGTCCAGCCTTTATTTCTCACATCTCTCAAGATGACGACAACCAAAATGGAATGGCCCTGAGCTGGTCTTCCTCAGAACTCCAATGGTGGTCAAGTCATGGGACTGTGATCCTGGTTCCACATCACTCAAGCTAAGCCATTTGCCCTCCTAACTACTCCCCATACTCTAAACATTCTGAGTGGTCATCTCATCTCCTATCTCTCATTTTCCATCTCACCAAGGCCCCACAGCCACCATTTTCAGGCCAGGTCATGATTTGTTATCCTATTTGGTTCCTAATCCCTTACATGAGAAAAATGGAGGAGCCAGTGGGTGTTCTTACAGGTCAGTCTCTTCCTGTTGGGATGGTGACTCCTGGCTTCTCAAGGTGATCCATACTTCACCCTTAATGTTTATGCCTCGGGTGTGGTTGTATTTGTTCTGCTTTTTGTCTTGAGATTGGGCCCACAGCAGGAGATGTGTGTCTCCTTCAAGGTTACAAGACATTTGGTCCTCTACGCTGGCTCCTTTGAGGGCTCAGCCCTGTCTGACTACCTAGAATATTTCTAACTAGCTCAACTGCCTGTAACACCATTACGCCGGGAAATCTCCCAGGTAATAACAGCAGATTACAATGGAAAACCACAAGACAAAGACTCTCAGAACTCCACAACACAGAGAAGAAATAAAAAGACACCAAAAGTAACTGGAGCTTCTGACTCCACCATCTACACAAAACCTTATGCACAGCCCAGTTCCTGATCAGATTAACCGAAAAACACACTAAGGCTTGCGGGCTGCTCTTCTTGTTTCAGCATCCCCAGCCAATAATTAATGGATCCAGCTGGCACAAAATCAGTGAAGACAAAACCAAATGGAATAGCACCATCAATCTACCGGACATAATTAACATTTACAAAATTAGGTTAGCTCTACTTTAAACTAAACTGGACATACAACAGTACATAGTTGGGAATCCAGCAAGTTTAACATTTTTAAATATACTGAATTATTTCTATTCTTTTTTAACCTAAAACTTTTTACATAGTTCCTTTAAACATTTAAATGATGCATTAATTGAGAGGTTTACAGTTTATCAGGAGATGAATTGTGACACAGATTATCATAACCTCTTGTAAATAGTATTTGGACAAGTGAACTCCATAATTGTCAATGAGCAGCCTGCTTGATGAAATCAGGAAACAATCCCTTGAATACTCTTGCCAGCTATCTTCTAATTTGTGAAGTTTTGATTTTTTCTTTCCTAAGTCTAAAGGCTGGAGAGATAGAGGAATGCTGCTCTTCCATGCCCAAGGTCCAGCTCTGGGCTGTTAGGGTTAAGCTGTTAAGGAAGAGGGGGTAAACAAGGCCTCCTGTGCTCAGATGGCTCTGCTCCTTGCTAACCCTTGACCTTCATTCATTTGTTCATTCTTTCTTTCTTTAAGTGATATTTTCTGAGCACCAGCTGTGGGTCAGGTCCTACTCCCCAGGTGACAACCAAATATTCAGATCAACTGGCAGATCATTAGTGCACATCACTTAGTGCATCCAAAGAAAGGTGACACTAGAAAAACCAGAAATAAAAATCCTTAGAAAATACGCAATGTTTGGCAACCAACTCAAGGCACTCTTTCTCTCAATAAATATTTCTGCTCTTAATCTCCATTGTTCCTAAAATTCATTCTTCAGTTTTAGAGAACACGAACTCGTACCAGACATGGAGTAGGTTGGGAATTTCCTTCTCCTATATCGATAGTAAGGTAGGAGAGAGAAGTATTCTATAAGCATAATTCAATATCAGTTTTTCAGTGAGCCTGAGTCTCGGGGCTGCAACCTTCAGAGATATGTCTCTTATCCTTTTTTCCATCTCTTTTGGGTAAACAGAAAACAAGGGAAAGCTGAGGTTAGCCAACTGCCCTATTTTTTAGGTAGACTCTGGCAAACTTAATACCTTTGGAGATCTTCTTGTCATGGAGAACATCCTGGGTGAATTTCAAAATGGCTACCCTCTTAGCCCATTCATGGTGCATTAACAGTCTGGGTAATTTATGAAACATAGAAACAAATTTCTCATGATTACGAAGACTGGGACCAAGGATGCTACCAGACTGAGATCAGCATGTATTGGTCAGGTTTCCATTATTGTGACAAAATACTTAAGAAAATCAACTTAAATGAGAAAAGATTTGTTTTTATCTCATAGTTTCAGAGATTTTGGTCCACAGTCACTTGCCTCAGTTGCTTCTGAGCCTGTGGTGAATGGAACATCCTGGTGAGAAGACTGTGGTGGAACAGACTTGCTCACCTCATGACAAACAGAAATCAAAAAGAGCACGAAGCAAAGGGGTTGGGCCCTACAGTCCCCTTCCAGAGTCTAACTCCAGTGACCTAACTTCCTCTACCAGACCTTACCCACTAAAGGTTCCACCACCTCCCAATAGTGCCACCAGCTGAGGGCCATGACTTTGACAATAGGGTGGGCTCTGGGGTTGCTTTTAATTTCTACGGTGGTACCTTGCGGCTGTGGAAGGCAAAGGGCAGGAGAATTCTCCCTCGATCCCTTTTTTTCCAGGGTTAATCTCACTTATGATGTAAGCGCCCTCATAAGCTAGTCACCTCCCCAAGTCATACTGCTTCATATTGTTGCACTGAGGATTAAATTTCAAGTAAATTTCAGAGGAGGCATAGACTCCAACCATGGCAATTATTGTCTTGCTCCACTTGCCAGAATATGAGGGAGTTTTAGGTCTTCATCTTGAAAGCTTGGTGGTGTTCCTTTTATGACAAAATCCATGAAAGTTTGGGCATCTCTATAGACTGGAACCCACAAGTTTCTCTAGAAATTTATGAAATTACCATCTAAGTCTTCCTCTTGTGGATGGCTCTAGCAACTTCCACTCCAGACATGGCAGGTATTCACCTGACTGCAGATTTCAGCGTAGTGGTTTTTCTTGGGTCTAAAGACAGACAATAGACTGCTAAGAAAATTAAGACAGTAAGTTACCAAAGAAACTGAAAGGTTTTGAATTCAAACAGCGTCATCCTTAATTCGAAATCTTTATGCTACAAACTGAGTGGTGATCCACTGCATTCCTCCTTCACCTTTCCTGGCTTACGATAGAAGAAATTATTACCAAGAAAAGAAACTTGGAATGAGCCTCTTTACTCTGCCAAGGCCTTTATTTAAGCATGAACAAACAAGTCGCATAAATCAAGGGCTTCCAAGCCCACAAGGGGAGTCGTAGCTGTCTTGTTGAAAGAAAGCCATTGACAGAATATATATGAAGGAAGAGGAGGGAGGAGGAGTCACTTGGCTCTATCTCAAGATCTGACTAAACCCACTTCAAATGAGAACTTCCATTGCTTTTACACAGCACACACTGTGCTCTGCAGTTGCCCTGGGGACAGTCCAGCTTTGAGCCTGGGGTCACTGGGGCTTGAAGGGAGAACAACAACAAGGGGTTTTATCTCTGGCACCTCACTCTTTTCTGTCATTCTGGCTGGTTGTCTTCCACCCTGAATGTTTCACCCTCTCTTCTCTGTCCCCAAAATATTCAGAATCACGTATGCACATCTTGTTTTCAGCTAAGGTCAGCCAAGGAAGTCCTGACACTCTGGTTCATATTTGCTGATGTTTTTCAAAACAGGCAAAGGTGTGACCTTCCCACAGAATACGAAGTTTTGTCAAAGGGTCCGGTGGTGGATTAAGTAATGGGCTACTTATAACACCCAGCTGCACTGAATCAGCATGGTGCTGGGTGTGGACCTACCAGAGGATTGTTGCCAACAGCATAAAAGAAGAACAAGAGGGAAATATGATGCACTATTGACTCTCCTGGAGAAGCTTTTCATGCTGGTTTTCCTGATATAAATTCAGTTGTTCTCATTGTCCAAGGAGCTGTGTCCTTGCTGTTGTTGATGATGGCTGAGTTCTCTTTGAGGGAGCTCTGGCCCTTACACTGAGTATTGCTTCCTGTATGTGGTACAGATCCTGCCATCCTGTTGGTTCAGACTTTCTAGACTTTGACCACTGACTTTTGGCCTTTCCAGTGCAGATCCTTGATACAGACTTGCATGAGACATTATTGTGGGCTGTAGGCCTCTGGTTGGACATATGGATGACGTTGCCACAGCCTCTAGGTCTTCAGGTGATCTTGTGCAGGAGTTAGGCCCTCAGCTGAATTCTTTAGGTCTCTAGTGCATGTACAGATCTCTTTTATTCTTCTTCATTTGACTCTTTGGATGAATATTATAAAATAATCCTATAAATTATATATTCTGTATTAAATCCTGACTACATGTCCCTTAGAGTGAAAAAATTCTTAGATAAACTGGGAAATGAAGAGTACATTTCCCAGAGTGGTCAACAACTTACAATTATAACACAGGATTTTTTGACTTTATGGTAGTGAGATAGTTGGTGTGTATTCACTAAAAACCCCACTTTGAATTGTGAATGCAGACATTTTCCCAGGCTAGCAGTGTGCCTTTCTCCTGATCCTGGGTAATGGGCAGGGCCCATTACTCAGCCCTGCCCTCATGATGACTGAGCCCTGCCATGATAGGGGGACATTACTGATACTCTCCAGTGTTTCCAAGCATAGTTTGATATTGTATTTTGTGTTTTCACATTGAATCACATCTACAAAATGCCCAAATGCATCTCCCATACCCACACATCACTCTCTTTTCCACTCTCAGTTAGTAGTCAACAAATTACATGACATACTCAACTCAATTCTATTATAAAACAGGCTCTGGATGATTCTCCCCAAAGGTGGGCTGCTGTAAGCATCCCAGGCATGTTGATGATAAGCTATACTAAGCAGTGATGCGTGGTAGGTAAAGAGTATCAAAGACATTTTTAACAGACTATTTTCAATTTGTGGTGAGTTTATCAGAATGTTACCCAACCATAAGTTAAAAAGAATCTGTGTATTTTTCAGGCAGAGGATGCTATTTGTAACACACACACACACACACACACACACACACACACAGTATTGCCTACCAGGTGGCCAATCTCCTCCTTTTTAAGAGTGACTATCCTTGATCTCTTTTATTAGTGGCAGGAAGAATGACCAATATTAATTTCTTCAAAAGAGAAAAGCAATTTTGGAACACAGGTGAAATGTAAAAAGGCATCCCTTAAAACCTAGAACCCCACAGTTCCATTCCTTGTAAAGTAATGGAGAAATTTCTCACAGATAAAGGAAACTTGTGAAAGAATCAGGTAAAAAACCAACTTACAGTAACTTTGGATTGGGACAATTTACTCCAGAGTAAAAAAAAAAAAAAAAAAAAAAAAAACTTTGGATTATTGTCTTTTTTTTACTTTATTTCCAAAGTTAAATTATTTTATATTTGAGGAAAAATATTAGAATCCAGTTTATTTTTCTCACCCATACTCACACATCCCTAAAACGACCTTAATGTGGGACTTCTGAAATTCAGTGTTAGACAAAGGCTAATAGTGTAAAGGGGGGAAACTTCTTTTGTAGCTAGAGAAACAATTCCAAGAATTTTTTTAAGTCACAGATGGGGAGGAAAAACACTGAGGTGATTACTGTCCAAATGCTTAGGAGTGAACATCTGAAACCATGTGTTTAATCCTGGGCATTTCTTTCTAGGAAAGTTAGCTAGAAAACAGAAAGTCCAAGAGGAATGACAGAGCTAGGATTCAGAGACAAAATTTAAAGGAAAATATTAAGTGGCATTTTTACATCAAGGATTTTTTTTTAGATAATTAGTGATTATAACATGCATTTACTTTAGGTTCCTGTATTAGTAAACCCTTGGAATTACTGCTAAATTATCTCAGTTTAACCAGACCTAAGCAGATAATATTGAAGCAAAGAGGCCACCTTCAGCACTGGACTCTCACGGGTCTCATTCAGAGTTGCAACCTGGGAAAGGAACAGTAGCAAAGCTGCTCAGATCTCCGCAGCTAGGGTCACCATTACCTCTGGGGAACAAGAGTGTCGCATGGAGCAAGTTCCACCCTAGTCCACACTGCGGGAAAATTCCCAAGCCAAACCAGACTGAAAGAAGACTCTGCACTGAAGAGATAAGAAGGCAGTGTTTGATCTTTATGCCAGCGGACTGTTGCAGGATAATTCCTCAAAGGCAACAGCCCTGAATTTACAGAGAGCTTAGTTCATAGAGAATTTATAATTTGGAGTACAAAGCAAGTGACAAAACATTATGTAATTGGTTACATGCATTGAGTCATATATTGACAGTAGGCTAGTCTGCAATAGGTATGTTGAAACAAAGGAATTGTTTACCATAATGTAGAAACATTCCAGGAACAGGGGGAGGGGGCCCTTACAGAATGAACATAGTTAAAGGCATTACATAATATGGAAACATTCCAGGGAAGGAGCCCTTCACTGGCTCAGGGTGCCTTAAGTTACAGACAATTACTCCCACTTGGTGCTCATCAGAGAGAGCAGCTGGCCTTTAGACACTGTCAAAGTCAACTGAATTCAGCCAAAGCAACAGAACAGAAACTTAGTCAGAGATCTCTAATTGATGATGAAATATCTAAGTTTGCTATTTTATAAATATGTTTTTATGTTATAATTGTGCCCCAGTACACTGACATCCTCTTATCCTAGCCTCTTCTGGAACTGAGATCAGGGAGGGGTTTCTGATCCAAACAGCTACAGACTCCACCTGACCACTCATACAGCCGGAACATGCCCAGGCAGCTTCTCTCTGCTAGTGATTTGTACTGAAGAGTAATAAGCAAAAGACTCAGAAGCAGGGCAAGCAGGAGCCTAACGTTACTTCTAGGGCTGGACAGCTCAGCATGCCACACCCCACCACTCCCCACCCCACCAAACCCGCCCCTCCATGCCCCAAGGAGCTGGCCAAGTCCCACCACACCCTACCATGTCCTGCCACACCACTGCTCTGCTGAAAACGCAGCTGCCATTGATCCTAAACCCCAGACCAGTAAGAAACTAAAACAAGGCAAAGTTTAGTAAAACAAAGGGCAGCTTATTTGGGGGAAAAAAAGATTAGACAGCTATCATGAAATGGTTTGACTCTTCAAAGATGAAAGCCCACAGGCTGTTTTTTTCCCTGGGGACTAGCATCTTTCCCATCCTGAGGGGGTCACTTGGCGATACTGATCTGTGGTTTTGATAGTCTCTGATCCTCACCTAGGCCTCCTGGCCATCTGGTTTCTTCCTGTTTCTTTACAATGAATAAATAAAGGTGGAGGGCCATTCAGGAAGGCGGCTTACTTAGTGATTAAGTAAAGCGGACATGTGTACCTGTGTGTATCTGGTGCAATATCATATTAATGCTAAAGTGAGAACATATATACATGTGTGCGTAGTGTGCATGTCTTACACATTAAATAAGAGTCCTTAGGTGACTCTCTTTTATCACCCTTGCATTTTGTTAGGTGGATGACAGGAGCTGCCTTTTTCCTGGTAATTGGGTTGCCTGGCACCTCTCCCAAGTCTAGCTAGCTATTCCTTGCTTTTAATAAGTTTTTAAAATTGATCTTAATAAAGCTCAATGAGCCTTTATTCTATCTTTCCCAATCTACAGGGTCCCCTGCCCGTACACTAATGAATACAGATACTGATAAATACTGATAGGTTTGTGGCCAAGAGGGCCAAGCACAGATAAGAAAGAGCAGACAGCATGAATATAGGGAAGAAGTTCCTAATGGGGATAACAGAAAAGCAGAGGGTCCCAGTGTCCAGAGACACAGGGAGTGATAAGATTACATCCAAAAGATGAGAAGTATAAAATGAAAGAGGCCTTTATTCTGAGAACACGGAGAGAGAAAAACCAAAACCCAGACCGCTGGAGTCCAGCTTTCTCTCTAGCAGACACGTGGCATTGGGGATAAGTAAGTAGCCTTGGTTTGGGGTGGAACCTAAAGGGGCATCAGGGATGCATGGGTAGCCCATTGGTCTTTGTTTGGCTCCATAGGTAAATTCCTAGGGGGTGGAGAAGATGGAGTCACAGGTAAATTCCTAGGGGTGGGGGAGATAGGAGCTCCTTGGTTCCGCCTCTAAGGCTTCACTGGCTACAGTGTCCAGTGGGCCAAAACTCTTTCATATCCCGTCTTACGATTATTGTTATGAAAAGGAGCGAAGATTTCTCTCTTTAACTACTTCCTGCCTGAAGGGGGCACTGTACTGGAATCTAGGGGAGTCAAGAGGATGACTGTTGATGCCCAGGTAGATGCTGGTGCCAGGTGTTTTAGCCAGGACAACTTCACTGGTGGATGCACGTATGTTAGACTGGAAAAACAAAGAGAAAAGATGTTGTGAGGAGACATTGCACTGTCATATTTAAGGACACAGGTGAGGTAAAGGGAAAGGTGCTTTTGATTTAAACATGTCATTATATCAGGACGATGTTGAGGTAGGACCACTGTCACGGTGAGGTCGAATTCTGAAAAATAAGTGTGAGGCTAGGAGGAGTGAAGTTATGAGAGGTGATTACTCCCCCATCTGAAAGCATACAAGTTAAGAGGATAGGTGTATAAAACTTGTCTCCGGTCCAGGAGTTGAACTGGAAAAAATAGGAGGAGCAGGGAAGGTGGTGGCTGTACCAGTATAGGGAAGGTAAGGGCTTAGGCTTTCAGGGATGTCATGTTTAACCAGACAGCTGAGGGTAGAAAGAACTGTGACAGTCATCGCATAGAACATTATAAAGATTATCTTACACATGATGTGGGAGTCTTTAGGAAGAGTCCTGCTGTAAAAATGATCATTAATAGAGCGTAAGAAATTAGGAACCAAAGTGGATAACAAAACATGACTTAGCCTGTTAACTGTGGCTGTGAGGCCTTCATGAAACAGAGATGGGTGGCTGACAGAAGATGAGATGACCACTCAGAATGATCAGATTTAGGGCTGGGAGGGCACCTCTTAGCCTGAGTGTTGTGAAACCAGGATGGAAGTCCAGCAACTTTGACCGCTGTAGGGGTAGCCAAGTAGACCAGATAGGAGCCACTCCACCTTGGTTGTAGCCCTGTGGATTTAGAACATTTGAGATAAATTAGATCTCCTGGGGATATGAGAGGATCTGGTTTGGCTTCTCCAGAGGGTTGTGGAAGACAGAGATCAGCATGTTGTCACAAGTGTCAGAGGAAGAAGAGGACTGGGACATAGTCAGCAAGGGGAGGGAGATTTTGGGGAGTAGGAAATTTGTGGAGTAAGAATGGCCTGCTGTATGTAAGTTCAAAAGGACTTAAGAAAGTAGGAGTCTGGGGAAGTGCCCTGAGCTTGGCTAAGGCTAAGGGCAAAAGTTGAGGCCAAGGTTGGTGTAGTTCTAAAGTGAGTTTTGTAAGGTGTGTCTTTATGAGGCCATTTGCCTTTTCTACTTTTCCTGAGGATTGTGGATGGTATGGGATGTGTAGGTGCCAGGTGATGTGTAAGCTTGAGGATACCTGTTGAGTGATCTGAGAAATAAAGGTGGGACCATTATCTGACTGAATACTCTGAGGTAGACCAAACCTTGGAATGATTTCTTGTAATATGACTTTGGTAACTACATCAGAATTTTCCCTGGTTGTGGAAAAACACTTCTATCCATCCTGAAAAGGTACAAACAAGGGTGAGAAGATATTTGAGAGTTTTGTGGTGGAGCATGTGTGTAAAATCTATCTGCCAGTCCTGACCAGGAGTGTGTCCTCGAAACTGATGGGTAGGAAAGGAAGGCGGTGCCATACATCCCTGAGGAGAGGTCCTAGCACAGAGATAACAGGTGTGAGTAATCTTAAGAATGATAGCTTTTAGAGAAGGGTGTGTGACTATTGGGGATAAGAGTTTGTATAGGGCCTGTGATCTTATATGAAAACAGTTGTGTAAGTCAGTGATGATGGCTAAGGCCTGTTGATGTGGGAGAACAATTTTCGATCCCTGAAAAATCCATCCCTGAGTGTTTTGTGTGTAACCTGGTTTATGAAGTAGCTGTAACTGCTCTGGTGAATAATTAGGCTGAGATAGATTGTTTGGGACTAACAGGAGAAGATGAGAAGGGCAGGGCCCTTGTGCAACTAACTTGGCTTGTGAATCTGCAAAGGCATTGCCTTGAGCAATAGGATCTGTAGAGTTTTGGTGTCCTCTACAATGAATAACTGTTGCCTGCTTTGGAAGTTGGGCTGCCTCTAGAAGTTTAAGGATAAGGGGAGCATTAATGATGGGGGTTCCCTGAGTGGCAATAAAACCCCGTTCTTGCCAGATAGAGGCATGAGAGTGTAAAATGCTAAATGTATGCTTTGAGTTGGTGTATATATTTATAATCTTGTCTTTTGCTAGTGTAAGAGCCCAATAAGTTCTGCCCTCTGTGACGGGGTGCCAGGTGGCAGTGGATTTGCCTCTATAACTTTTGACTGGTTAACTATTGCATATCCTGCCTTCTTTTGGTTGTCTGTGTTTGTTGAACTGCCATCTATGAACCATGTGTCAAAGGCTAAAGAGAGAGGTGTGCTACTGATGTGAGGGAAAGGGGTGGGAGTCATCTGTAGGAACTCAATACAGTCATGATGAGGATGGCCCTCTGAGGTGGAAAGTAAGGTTGCTACATTAAAAGGACCACTAGTTGCAATAGAGATGCAAGGGTCTTGAGAGAGAGCTAAGTGTACCTGTTGAAGGCTAGAAGGGGTCATTAGGGCAGGGAGCACCTTATGTGACATAAGCTCATGTAAGTGATGAGGTGAGTGTACTGTAATAGATTGTCCTAATGTAAACTTCTTAGCTTCCTGTGTCAGGAGGGCTGCAGCTGCAAGCGCTCGGAGACAAGGAGCCCATCCTTTTACTGTGTGATCTAACTGCTTTGACAAGTAAGCTACTGCTTGAAAAGAAGGTCACTTTTTGTGTCCTAGTACACCTATAGCGTTGTGGCCCTGACAAGTAGTGTATAGGTTGGGTGGGATCAGGAAGGGTAAGAGCTGGAGCTTTTAGGAGAGCCTCTTTTAATTTTTGAAAGGAGGCATGTATGGGCCTAGTAGGGTCCAGGGGTTCTGATAAGGGACTCTTAGCGGCCTTGTAGAGGGGTTGAGGTAGGGCTGCAAAGTTAGAAATTCAGAGATGAAAGAAATTAGCTAAACCTAAGAAAGATGTAACCTGATATTTAGTTGTGGGCACCTGGAGATCACGAAGAATTGCCTTACGATCTGAGGTGATGGAGCAAGAGATGGGGGTGAAAGCAAGATCTAGGTATTTGACTTTTGGGGAGGCTATCTGTGCTTTAGCAGGAGAGACCCTGTATCCACAGCTAGCAAGGAAATTAAGAAGACTGGCTGAATGGTGTATGGCTAACATATGGGATGGAGACATAATAGGGTCATCTATGTATTGAAGAAGAACACTAGGTTTGAGATCAAGTTCTGTGAGGTCAGTAGTGAGAGCTTGACTAAAGAATTGGGGACTATCTCTGAACCCTTGGGGGAGCACTGTCCAAGTAAGTTGTTGAAACCTGAGAGTGTCTGGGTCAGTCCATGTAAATGCAAAGAGGTTCTGGCAATCAGGGTGTAGGGGGATAGAAAAGAAGGCATCTTTAAGATATATAACTGTAAAGTGAGTGGTGGAGGGAGGGATATGAGAGAGCATGGTATAGGGATTTGGCATGACTGGGTGAGTTGGGGTAACAACACTGTTAATTACCCTAATGTCCTGTACCAGGCAATAGGACCCATCAGGCTTGAGTACCAGGAGAATGGGAGTATTGTGGGGTGAATGGGTAGGTTTAAGAAAATTGTTGTTCAAAAGGTGCTTAATTATGGGTTTAAGTCCCCTTAAATGTTGGGGAGCTATGGGGTATTGAGGAACACAGGGAAAAATTGAGTGATCCCTGAGACGGATTAAAACAGGTGTGGAATGTGTAGCCAGAGTGGGATTGGATGTGTCCCAAATCATGGGGTCAACCAGAGAAGGAGGAAGGGGAGGGAATGGCTTTGTGACACATTGTGAGGCTGTTTGGAGGATTAGGGCTGTGGGGAGAGAAAAAAGGAAAAATTAAGCTTTTGAAGAAGGTCTCTACCTAAAAGGGGTGTGGGACATATTGGGATTACTAGGATGCTATGGGTAAAGAAAAGAGTCTGGAATCGACATGGGATAGGCCCAGTTTGCAAAGGTTGAGTAGGCTGGCCTTCAACACCCACAACAGAAATCAAGGACTTACTACAAGGTCCTGAAAATTCAGGAAGTACACTATAAGTCGCTCCCGTATCTATAAGCAGAGATATTATCTTACCTGAGACCTTCAGTGAGATGCGGGGCTCTGACAAGGTTACCGGAGTGGGGTCTGTGAGCCCCAAGCCCCGTGAATCTTCCACAGCAAGTATGAACAGGTCAGTCAGCAACGAATCTGGCATTGACAGAGTCTCCTGTGAGGGCTAAGGATTAGAGGATGGCTTACCTGCTCTCTGGTGGCTAGGACAGTCACTCTTCCAACAGCCCTTAAGGTTGCAGTATGGACATGATCCTAGAGGGATGCCAGGGTTGGGGCAATCTTTTGCCCAGTGTCCTTGTTTGCTGCATTTAAAGCACGGTCACGTCGTGACTCGGGCAGCCACACCTTGTTTCAGATTTCTTGTCCTGGGAGCCCCGAGTGCCACTGCTAAGAGATCAGACTGATATTTAGCAAACTTTAATTTTTGAGCTTGCTTTTCCTCTTTTTGAATTTTTTCTCTGTTGTTGAAGACACAGAAAGCTAATTTAAGTAGATCCCCTTGCGGAGTTTGAGGGCCATGTTCAACCTTTTGTAATTTTGCATGAATATCAGGAGCAGACTGGGAAATAAAATAAGAGTTAACAACAGTCATCCCTTCATGAGGGTCTGGGTTCACATTAGTAAAAATTAAGGTTTCCCAAAGCCGATTTAGGAACACAGCTGGGTTTTCATTAGCCTCCTGGACCTGTTCTAAAAGTTTGGTATAGTTAATGTGTTTGTGAGCAATTTTATTAAGGCCCACAATTAGACACAATCATTTTATGTAATTTTGTTGAACCCTCACCATTTTGATAGCTCCAGTTAGGATCTTGTTCTGGCACAGCTGCAGGCCCAGGGTCATTATCAGCAGTGTTCGCCTTATGTCTTCGATCAGCTTCTTCTCAAGCTGCTTGCACAGCTGATTTCAATCTTGTGAGCTGAGAGTGGTATTTAGAATCAGATAAATATTCTTAAAATGTAAATCATAACAATTAGTAATAAATTCAAATTCCCTGATATAATTCTGTAGGTCAACAAAGAAGCTACCTAATTTATGGGTAATCTGAGATAAGTCAGAAAGGGAGAAAGGCACATGTATATTAACAAGTCCCTTGGGGCCAGCTTGCTCCCAAAGTGGTAGCAGAGATTGAGGAGAAGATTGCAGAGTAGATGGCCATTGGGCAGCTATCTATCTGGTAGATGTGTGTGAGCAATTATCTGTAGATCAGCCACAAAGTGGCTGCCGGTTACCCTGGGATGAGGAAACACAGGCAGATGGTGTCTCACTCTGTGCCTTGCAGCAATGAAATTGCTGTCCGCAGCACAATGAACCGTCACGTGGTCCGCAATAGGGTGGCTGTTGCTGATCTCAAGAGGAGCCACAAGGGGGTGCCCATTGACTGTGAGATCCATCCCAAGATGGCGGAGCCCTGTCACGTGGCAGGGGGCCACAACATGGCGACCATTCCCAGCACAAGCTGGAACAGTCACACGGCTTGCCGGAAGGAAACAGTGACCGAGACCTAGTATGGTGGGCTGGAGGTAAGAATACTGTAGGAGATAGAGAATTCTCAGGAGAATAAGAGGTCGGAGACTGTGAGGAAGCGCTAACAGAGGGACTGGAGCCACCGGGAGAGTTATGGGGTCTGGGAGAGGGAGGGGAAAACAATTGCACAGCAGGAGATAACTGCGACACAGAGGGATTAGAGCTGCTGGGAGAATTAGGGGTCAAGGGAGGGGAAGATGGTCACATGGCAGGAGGTAACATGAGGAACGATTTTGGGGGTAGGCAGGTGGTGGCCGATAAAAAACCGGGGGTACTTCATCGAGTGATCATGAGGGCAGGAGGGGAGAGTTTGTGGCACAGCAGAGTTAGCTAAAAGTACCTGGGTGGGGGTATAGGATTTAATGAGAGATGGGCATGTTCTCAGAACAAGGAAAGCCTGTACATAAGGGATCTCTGTTAACTTGTCGCCAGACTGACAGAAATCGTAGAGGTTTTTGAGCATATAGGGGTCAAACGTCCCCTCTCTGGGCCAATGGCTGCCGATAAGTGGGTAGATCGGACAAACCTCCTGGCAGTAAAAAGTTAATTGTTTAGTTTTTATGGTGCTTTTAATCTTAAGAGTACATAGATTGGAAATTAGGCATAGCAGAGGTGACTTTTGGGAATTAGAAAAAACGTTTCCCATGACTAATTCAGGCAAGAAACGAGCCGTGGTCTGGAGGGTGAGCCGTCACTCGTCCCGTGGCACCAAACAGCGTTTAGGGTCCAAAAACTCATATATTCCAGTTGTCACTAAGAGATTTACGAGTGGAGTCCACATGGGGTCAGTAACAGTTCTGCCCATGAGAGCGTGAAGCTCTGAGGGACGTGAGGGTCTTACAGTGTGGGTGGTCCAGAAAACTCTGCCTTGGGCTATCCAAACCCAAAGGACGTGGGAGATTTTTGAGTGTGGACGCAGGTTGCCCAGAAAGACCCTGTCTTGGGCTGTCTTAAGGACGTGAGAGTGTCATGAACCCATGCAAAGGGGGAGGAAACTCACTTGGGGCGAGCCCAGTGCCAAGAATTCTCCAGAGTTTGCTCACCTGAGATTAATCAGGCTGGTGTTGTGTGTGAGCGGTTGGCGACAAGTCAAGCATGTCCTGGGAGATGAAAATCGGAGAATTAAGCCAGGACGTAATCTGGTTCGTGAATCGGCTGGGGACTCAACTGAGTGTGTGTCCCAGGAGTCAATCACCTGTTGATCGAGTCACAGCACCAAATGATAAGATTATATCCAAAAGATGAGAAGTATAAAACAAAAGAGGCCTTTATTCTAAGAACACGGAGAGAGAAAACCAAAACCCCCAACCACTGGAGTCCAGCTTTCTCTCTGGCGGACACGTGGCTTCGGGGGTATGTAAGTAGCCTCGGTTTGGGGTGGAACCTAAAGGGGCATCAGGGATGCACAGGTAGCCCATTGGTCTTTGTTTGGTGCCATAGGTAAATTCCTAGGGGGTAGGGAAGATGGAGTCACAGGTAAATTCCTAGGGTTGGGGGAGATAGGAGCTCCTTGGTTCCGCCTCTAAGGCTTCACCGGCTACAGTGTCCTGTCTGGGTCAAAACCCTTTCAGGGAGGACCTGGCCCCAAAGCAGCCTTCAGACTGGAGCCCAGCTACAGTTACAACAAACCCCACTTTTCCCAGTTTTTCAGCATTGAAAACACCCGTGCCCCAGCAATCCCTCCTCCACTCCCCAGTGAGTTAGACTGCTGTCTTTACCTAGTCTGACTTCCTGGCCTGACCTCACCAGAAAACTCTTGAGACACATCAACTTAAATAGGAATGGGAAGTGTGCTTCAAAGCCCAGGCTTCTAGAAAATCATTCAGCTATATTTCTCTCTCTCTCTCTCTCTCTCTCTCTCTCTCTCTCTCTCTCTCTCTCTCTCTTTTTTTGTCTTTTTCCTTTTTATCGGTACTGGAGATTGAACTCACGACTGCTTGCTTGCAGGTCAGGCACTTATGCCACTGAGCTAAATTCCCAGCCCCTGACTCAGCTATATTTCTATGCACAGAATCTAACCTAAAATCCTAACTCTGAGGTCAAAGTAGTGTCATTAGACTGTTGGGGACTTGGATCTGAGAGGGCAGCAAAGACGGAAGCTCTTTGCACCTCCACCTTCTGATGGCCTTTGTTGTCATCTTTTGTGTCCACGTAGAACTTACTGTCCCTTCGCTGTCTGTCCTTTTAAGTCCTCTCTGATGGACTGCTGCCTTCTAACCATGCAAGTGATAGCTGAATCAATAGAACTCAGTGCTGCCTCTCTCTTTCTAACTACATTTAAAGAAATGGTAATTCTTTAATTCCTTCTAGGAAAGAGAAGGAGAAGAAAAAAAGGCAAAAGTCTGACATGAGACTAGAAAGGTAGAGCCTGTTCAAAAATGTGTATTAGATAACCTAACACACATTTATACTGGAAAATTTAAAAGTAATAAAAAGTGTCAGCCATGAAGTTTGATGAGAATTGTGACAAGTGGCAAAGCACTGAGGTTCATCTGACTCCAGGAACCAATATCACTTTCTTAGCAGGTGCTTTCACTTTCTCTCATAGCTGAGACAAAATGTCCAACACCTAAAGTTAAGGAAGGAAAGGTTTATTTAGCTCACAGCTTGTGGAGGTTTCAGTCCATAGTCAGCAGGCTCTAAGGCAGAGTGTGGCACATGACAGAAGGCAACAGTTCATGGCAGGAATTTTATCTGGAAACAGAGATTTAGAAAGACTGAGCAATTCTACCTTAACTTGAAAAGATATAACTCAGATGATACCAGTCAAGGGTGGCAGACATGTCACTGGACACATGTCTTTCTGACGTCTCCAATAACCTTGCGGAGTGGATGCTGGCTTATCTTGGTTGCTTAGGTACAAAGCTTTCTCCACGTTTCTCCCACATGTTTTCCATTCTCTCAATCCTGACCCTCACTGTCCTGAGGATGAAACCTTTCTTTGACTGATCTGTGGGGAACAGAATTGGATCCCCTACATAAAGTCTCTTCTGCTACTTTAATAACATTGGTCAGCCTAAGAATGTAATATTTGCCCAAAATTACATGTGAAAGTTAATAACAGTTAATAACATTGTGCCAAGCCAAAGAAAGCATTAGCTTAAAAAATAGCATTTACTGGGATAGGGGAAAGGAAAAATGGAAGAAAGGAAAATATTATATATATGTAGGTATACACACGTAACTATGTGTATGTATATGTGTGCAAGATAGATAACTATACTACTAATCTCTGTTACATCATCAAAAAGGACAGTTTATGCTGGCATTGTTTGATTGATCATTTTTTATTTAATTTAGGAAAATGTAGGTTAACAACTTTTAAACTTTAATTTCTTGTAACTTGAACAACTATTTCTAAGATAACAATATGCTGTTTTGAAAAATTCTGTATTGTTTCTATCCTTGTTTTGCTTTTTAAAATAATAAAAAATAATAAAAAAACATTTAGAGCAGGCAAGTAATTTCAACTGTCAAAATAAAAAATTATATGTCTAACCTGCTGAACTATGGAATTGTCCTTTAAATTCTAATGCTCAGCGGTTGGAAATGTCATAAATCAACAAATGGAGGTTTGCTTGTATTTTTTCTCATGTATAAATGCCAAAACAATTTATTTTCTTTCATAGTGAAAAACTCTTCCATTTGGTCAATAATGAGGCTACAAATTTGAGCACATACAATCCTTTTCTTTTAAAAGCCAAAAAAAATCAATTTATCTTTTAAATTTGTTTTGATCATCTGTGTTACATTTTTAATTGTAAATTTCTAATGTAGTGCATATCTTCAGGCATTGTTAAAGAGAACAGAGGGCACATACTGTCCAGAGAATATGACTTCAGGAGCAGAAGTCCCAAGTCTAGCTTCCGACCTTAATAGCTACTTGATTTAGGAAAACTTAGATTAACAGCTTTCAAACTTCAAGTTCTTTATCTATCTAATATTTAGAATATATTTATTCACCTATTAATTGGGCATTGTTCCAGCAAAAATGAACCTTCCCAAGTGGGAAACAGCCCTGCTAGGCATTCAACTGCCCCAACTAAAAACTAGTCCACCCTTCCTAATACCTTCTGCTCTAATCCAAACTCAAATCCAGCAGGTTTGAGATAGGAGATTAGGGTGTGGCAAAAACTGCCTGATGAAGTAGACACGACCAGTTCACTACAAGATCCGGGACCCACATGCAGGCAGAAGGGTTCCCAAATCCCTGCGTGTGGACTTCTCGTGAGAACTCAAGCAGGTGCTCAGTAGGTTGACTGAGAGGCCAGACTTCGGCCTGAACAGTAGGGTTCCCACACTCCCTCTCAGGACAGAGATGTAGATGTTCTTGAGGATTTCCTCAAGATTTGGACAGCATAAAAGAAACGCAGGCATGAGGAGCTGGTGCTAATATAGCTTTCCACGACAGCCACCCTGTGTCTCCTGAAGCAGCATGCACTCTCCTCTCCCCTCTTACCCTCTTTTTCTGTTTACTCAGCCCCAGCTCACTCTGCAGAGCCAGCTCCTCTCACACTTCTCACTTTTATTTTCTTGAGTAAACTTTGCCACTGTTTTTTGCCCGTTTCATTCAATTCTTTGTTCTAGAGAAGAACTTGGAATCTAACTCTGGCAGGAGAGGCGAGCAACCCCCAGCCTGTGACATTTAGCTGGCAAGCCACGTTTTAGAAGCAAGAACCCCCTGTAACAGGTTCATCCTTTAAAATAGATCTGAAGCCTGGCTTATAGCTCATTGGTAAGAGTTCTTGCCTGGCATATGCAAGGTCCTGGGTTCAATACCCACTGCCATGCAAAACAAAAACAAAAACCTCTGATACCCATGAATAGTCACTTCTATTACCTTCCTTCTCAGCTCCCAAGAACAGCAATCTATTTTGTCTCTACGGATTTGACTGTTCTGGATATTTCATATATCTGGAATCCTACAATGCATGACTTTGTGTTTGGCTTCTTTCACTTAGAATAATGTTCAGAGATTTATTAGTATATCAGTACCCCCTTTTTACTGCTTAAAACTATTCTATTCAATGATACCCCACATTTCCTTTAGTCACTCATCAGCTGATGGACAGGCAGTTCTTTCCACATTTTGGTTATTATGAATAATGCTAATGTGTTCTAAACACATTTTGTATAGACATGTTTTCATTTTTCTTGGACTTAATAATTGCTAGGTCGTTTGGTCACTCTATGAGTTTAACCTCTTTTAAGGAACTGTCAAACTATTTTCAAAAATGACTGAGCGATTTTACATTCCCATCAGTAAAATACCAGGGTTCCAATTTCTTCACATTCTTGTCACCTCTATCTGTCTTTTTGATTATTGCCTCTGTGAATGTAGTGACTTCTTAATATGGCTTTAATTTGCCTTTCCCTAATGACTAATGATGGTGATAATCTCCTCATGTGCTTGTTAGTCATTTGTGTAGTTCTTTGAAGAAAATTCTATTCAGACATCCTGCCCTCTCTAAAATTGGACTATTGGGGCTGGAGATTTAGCTCAGTGGCAAGCAGGTGGTCATGAGTTCGATCCCTGGTACAGATAAAAAAAAAAAGTTAAAATTGGACTATTTTATTTCTCCTTGTTAACTTGTTGCAAGCATTCATTATATACTAGATACAGTTTGCTTATCAGATAAAAAAATATTTTCTCCCATCATATGACTTACCCTTTCACTTTCCTAATGATAGAGGCAGATTTTTTTCCTTTCTAATCTGCATGTTCTTTTTCTTGCCCACATCCCCTGACCGGCACCTCCAGCAGGACTGTTACAGAGAAGCTGTGAAAGGAAACATCCCCATCTTATTCCTAATCGTGGGCAAAAGCAGTTAGTCTTTGCCATTAAATATGATGTTAGCTGTGGGTTTTTCATCGATGGGCTTCGTTAGGTTGAGAAATTCCCTTCTTCTTCTTCTTCTTCTCTTTCTTCTCTGAATCTACCTCTTTATTTCTGCTTGAAATACAAATGTTCCATTGCAATTATGAGACACACCTGAGTTCTGGAGACAAGGCCTGGGGACTTCAGTAGAGGAAGAGGCTGACCGGGACGAGGGCCATTTGAACCCACGGATGTCCAGCTTGCTGAGTCTACAGCCTGCTGCTTCTTGAGCACAGCTGCCCCAATAAAGCTGCACGTGGAGACTGTCAAAGATGGAGATGGCAAATATGGAGATTTCTGCCAGTATCTGCAGATACACAGAGGCTCCGTATGCCCTCTAAAATGCCACATTTGATCAGAGCTGGGAATGCAAACAAGTGTCGGCCCACTTTCACTCCACTGGTCGTCTGGGTGCTGGTGGGGGCCATGTCCTTGGCAGCTTGATTGGCTAAGCAGTGCTGATATCTTTTGGTCTTGAGCTTCTCAAAGTTCACTACAGACATAGGCACCCCACAGTATCAAGCCCATTTACCTCCACTTTTTGTCAGTCCTCACCCCTCTGTGCACAGGTTCCTCTGTTAACTTCAGTGCATTCAGGGCAACCGCAGCACAGGATTGTTAACAAACATTGCTAAAATCGCTACATTTCCAAAACTGATATACACATTTAATGCAATCCCAATGGAAATACCAACAGTGTTCCTTATAAAACTAGAAAAAAATTCTAAAATGTATGGATTTCTACCCTGCTGAATCCCTTCTTTGGTGGTTGCTGTCTAGAGCCTGGCTCAGCAGGAAAGATATTTTGCTTGATTAGCAACAGCTCCTTTGATATGGGCCTGGTAGAGCTCGGTCTCTTTACAGGTTAGCAATGGAAGTCCCCATAGGTTAAGAGACTCAGCAAAAACCAGACAGTTGATGGATAGCATTGCATGGATTGTAAATCAGAGGTAAGTTGTTCACAAATAAAATTTGCCAGGGGCTGGGGATTTAGCTCAGCGGCATAAGCACCTGCCTTGCAAGCAGGCAGTTGTGAGTTCGATCCCCAGGACCGATAAAAAGACAAAATAAAATAAAATAAAATTTGCCTTCATTGCACCAGGACTCAATTGTTTTAAAGCCTTGTTCCTAAATACCTCTCAGATATACTTCTTCTACTCCAGTTCTACTAAAGCTATTTATTGGACCCCTTTCCTGTCTAACAAAGCCTTCCTCATCCTGCAGACCAGACAGCACCTTCCTGGGGGGGCTTTCCTTACTGCTTCCTACACCCCCCAGTGACCAGCCCCAGAGATCAGGGACTGTCCTGTCCCACTTCAGCCTGTCTGCACCTCTCCCAGGCTCTGTGGAGGAGCTGTTCATCAGTAATCACTGATAAATGATGAGTTGGCTGGGCACTACCTGTGCTTACACTAAGCCACCAGACAGAGTCCACACATAGGTTTTTGCTTTTACTTTTTTCACCATTTTTTTTAAACAAGCCAAGCATGGTGATGCACACATGTAACCCCAGCACTCTATGAGACTGGGGCAGGAAGATAGGAATTTGGAGACAAGCCCAGGCAATGTACTGACTTAGCAAGACCCTCTCTCAAAACTTTAAAAGGGACAGAGGTGTAGCTCATTGTGATGGCGCTGGGTTCCGTTCCCAGACCACAGAAAAAAAGAAAAGGAAAAAATCCCTAGTATATGTCTGGAAATGTGATCCTTAAATGTATCCCATAAAATTCATGATAGAAAATTTCGGTACATAGATTTTTATCTAAACATTGTTTACAACAGAGAAGCAGAAAGAAAAAAAACACAAAAGATCCAACATTAAAGGGATGGTGTGATCATTGATTGATTGTGTCAACTCAAGTAAATGCCAAATAAATTGGCTCAGCATAGTTCTGGGGGTGGAACTTTCACTCCAGGGAAGGATTACCACAGAAGGCCACAAAGGGGAATGAAAAAGGAAAGATTGCTCCCGCCTTCTTTGGAGGAGTTCCAGTCTTCACTTCCACCTTGGACTTGGCCTCCTGATACAGACCCACATGCAACACTATGCTCTATGCTCCAGGCTTCAAGCAGATCCTTCAAACCCTCCAAATGCACATGTGTGGGAGATGCCCAAGCTGCACTCTCCTGAGAAACAAAGCCCCTCGCTTCGATCCTTACCTGAACTCCCCCTCAGCCTTATTTACTAAGAATGCAGAGCTGGCTGTCATGAAGCAGATGTTCCCTTCACTGGCCGGAAGAAAGTGATCGAGTCCAGCCAAGGCCCCAGTGTGTCTCACTGCAGCATATGGGCCAGAATTTCTTCCATTGCTGATGGCTGGAATTGGGGCTTGAGCAAGAACCTGTGAGACTCCTGGTCTAAGACATGAAGCAACATCTCAGCTGAGACCATGAGACTCAAAAACAGTTATACCTTCCTGGCATTAAAGGTGCCAACTTTGCATACATCAAGCTACAGATTGCACTGCTAATTGGCTCTGTTTCTCATTATAGCCAATGCCTGCAAAGTTTCTCTTCCCTAGCTTTCTGACTGGACCCCCAATCACCTCCTTGATTGACCAATAAAAGCCATGAGCTTTTGGACTCATGCTTTTTTGTTCCACCGAGAGCATTGGATCATCCCAGAGCTCCTCATCTGCAGAATTTTCTGTTTGTCTTTATTTTGCATCTATGGGCCATATTGCTGGGTGGGAGATCTCAACCTTCTGCAGGGGTTTTGGGACAGATGGACATTTTGCACTCTTCCACATCTGACTCTGTGGGTGGCCGTCATAAGCCAATCTGTAAAGTCTTATGTATTTGTATATTTTGTGTTATATCTATTTCTTTAGTAAACATTGATGATACAGATGGTAAATAATTTACAGTGTATATGTATGACAAATTATGATACCATCTTTAAAATCATTCTTGTGAGAAGTTTTTAATATTATGAGAAAGTACTTATGAGGAGATGAGAGAGAAAGGGGAAATGAAATATGTACACACAATAAGGTTCCATCCCCATAAAGTATGCATTCAACCAAACTGGAAAGGCAATAACCATTACCTTCTGCTTTCATGTTTTTGTGGTTCTGGGGCTCTAACCCAGGGCCTTGAGCATGCCTGGCAGACACCCAACTACCACTGCAAGACACCAGCCCCACGGGGTAAGTTATATTGAACTAGCATAGAATATATATTAGTCAAGTCTCCAGTTTGGGTACTGAGAAAGGTAACCAGATCTCAGGGTTCCACATCCCTAAATCCTCTGCGGTTGCTAATGAAGCAGCTGTGACCATCCAGAAAGGTCTATGCACAGCACAGCAGGACAGACATGGGGATACTATATGACAAGGATTTCTGCTTGTACCCTCAGCATTGTCTTCTAGTGAGCTAGATTGGACTTCATGTGTAGCATGGTCTTACTTTGCTCCTCTTGCCTAAGGTTCCCACTTAAACCTACAGTATAACTTGTTCTGACTTTCTTCCTAGGGCCAGAAATGACAAATATCTGGCCTATGCATGGCCCCTCCCAGATCTGCAGCTGTAGTGGATACTGTGGTTTGCCACTAGAGCTCCCTTTCTGTATTCAGAAATTCATTTTCCACCTGTTAGGATCACTGACCACCAATCACTCATAATTACAACTTCCTTCAGGAATGGCTTTGGCCAAAGAGAGCTGCTTTGATAAAGGCTGCAGCCCTCCCTGGTCAGTGTTGAAGGGAGACGGAGTGGGGGGGGGGGAATATGGTTATGCTAAAGTCTTGTGCTTTTGCCTCCTGTGGGGTAACCCAGCTCCAGGGACTCCCCAGGAATGTGGCTAAGGCCTTATACTGCATTTCCTCATGAAAGTGCTGTTCTCCCTGTACTTCCTAACAAAGGAATCTCCTGCAAGCAATTCTGAGTCCTACAATATTTTTCTGAAGAATTCACTTAAAACAGTGACAACGTTTGAACTCATTACTAATTTATGGAATTACTTCCCCTTTTGTTTTAAGCCTGGATACATCTTATGGGTTCTTTTCAAAAACACCTTCTAAGTAATTAAAAAAAAAGCCAAGGAGAGTGATAAGCAAGTTGAAACCCATTTATCATCCTGCTCCAAGCCCTCATTTCAATTTCTTTCGTGTAGATCTCAGCATGCTAGCAGCAAGAAGAGACAAGGGGAAACATGCCCGAGGAAAAGCACACCAAGGAAATAAGAAATGCTTGAATCCCAGTGGCAAAGCCACTCCAAACCATTTACCCCTAATTATCCAAGGGGTCCCCAGGTGAACGGTAGCCCTGGGCTGTCAGTTGTGTGCAAGAAACCAATATAAAGGGGTCAGACAAAAGCAGGACCTGCTACTCACGCTCCACAAATTCATGCATTCATTTGTCACACTACACTCTCACCTCCTCATACCAAGGTCATGAGATGTCCTTAATGGCCAGGGATATTTAGCTCAGTGGCACAAGCTCCTGCGTGGCAAGCACAGGGTTCTGAGTTCAATTTCCAGTACGAAACAATAATAATAACAATAATTAAAAAAAAAAAAAAGATATCGTTGGCCGTGACCAGTCATCCTGAGACCCTACAGCTGTCCCCTGAGGTCAATGTGAACCGAAAATCTGGTGACCTGTAGTCAGGTCACACTTCATCCATGGAAAGCCACATATCTGGAGGTAAAACACTCAATGTGCTCTGGCTGTCTCATTATAAAATTAAGGAAATGTACCCATAAGAGTTTTAAGACTCATTCTTGGTCTAAGACTCATATGTTTCTGTGCACAAAATCCAGGCAGACAGTAGATAAACCTTCTTCCTGCAAAAATAAGACCTAGCTGGAAAATAATCAACCTTGAAAATTGGAGATGGAAAATGCCAGCCCCAATCAGCCTATCCTCACCTTACCTGCCTAATGGAAGAGTCCTTGAGCAAGAGAACAGGAATGAGCCGGGCGTGGTGTCACACATCTGTAAATCGCAGCACTCAGGAGTCTGAGGCAGGAGGATCACTGTGAATTCAAAACCAGCGCTGGCTACAAAGTGAGTTCAAGGCCAGCTCATAATGCATAATGGGACCTTGTTTCAAAAAGACAAAATAAAATAAAATAAAAGAGAGAATAGGGATGACAGATAAAGCGAGGATGACAGGGCCTAACATTTTTAATCTCCAGTTTTCAATGCTGATAATTTTGCAGCTAACTCCTATTTTCAAGGAAACACAGAATCTGCCCTTGCTAGCGGTATTATAGACGATACATTTAGGGCTTCAGGACCACACTCCTCCACTCACCAGAACCTGAATGACACCCAGGACTAACTCCCTGACCTTTATCCTCAGGCCTACCACCCACAGGCAGAGGTATATAAAACCCTGAGCCTGTCCTAGAAAATTCTAAAATCCAAACCGAGATGGGAATGCATGCCAGATTTTCCAGCATGAGCTATCGTAACCTTTCTTCACATGGAGCTCACTGAAGGTTCATTCATAGGAACTGCTGCTCATAGATCCAGCTGTAACAGAGTGAATTATGGCAAAGGACATGTGCAGTGGACAGCAGTGGACAGGACTCAGCACTCTGTCAATCACATTGTCGATCATGCTCTGGAAGGCTCAATGAGGGGCGTCCTAGACCCCTGCACAAGTTCTAAACTCTCAAGGCCTTCAGAGTTCAAGCTGGGGACATTTTCCTTTCCGCTGCTGCGAACCTGCTGGCTCAGAGTGCCGTGGCACCTGATGAAACCTCGCTTCTGTTTTCTAACCATCAAGTGCCGAATCCAACTCTTTGTTCACTGTGCACAAGAACCTAGGAACCTGTCTACACCCGCGTCACCACGGTAACAGCAGCAGCACTGTTATATCAAAGTTGGCTCTTGTTTGGTTTCTGTGGCAAAAGCAGATTCAGAGCTGAGGGACAAGCTTGACCTTGAGCAGGTCACGAAGTGACTGCAGTTTGCACAACTTTGGAACTGCCCACTCTTGCCGCATTCCTGCTTCTCCTTAACCCATGCCTAGGCCTCACCCGAGTTCCTAATAAGTAGAAGACTGAGAAAGAAAAGTTCAAATGTGTTTCAGAGAGTGCTTCACACACTGCAGCTGAGTGGCTGCGAGATGGTGGCCCCACCAAGAGACAGGCACAGGCAGGAGGGGAAAGGGTAGGGCTTCAAACAGGACAGAGGAAAGATCTGCATCTGTCCCTGGTAAGGGCTAATGATTTGAGCACAATGGAATCCAAAACAACAAAATGACCGGAGGAAACAAAACAATGGAAGGAACATAAGAAAACTTGTAAAAACAAAACTAGAATTAATATCCTTGGAGAAATAAGAGAAATTAAGAACAGAATGCCCAAAAAAAAGGAGAAAATTCAAGAAAGTGTTCCTTGAAATTAAAAAAATCACACAAGCTAACAAAATTTTAAAATTCAAATGACAGCTGGGTGTGGTGGCGCATACTTATAACCTACTACTCAGGAAGCTGAGGCAGAAAGATCCCAAATTCAAAACCAACCTGGGCAACTTAGTGAAATCCTGTCTTAAAATAAAATTTTAAAAGGGCTGGGGATGAAACTCAGTGGAAGACCATTTAATAAGTTTACAAGATGCCGTGGGTTCAATCCCAGCACTACATACAGGAAAGAGGAAGGAAGGAACATTTTCTCAATAAATCTAATAGGCATCACCTAAAGGGGGAAAGGGGAAAGGAAAGGAAAGGAATCGTGAAACAATGAATGGATTTCCAGATTTAAAGGGACTACAAAGCCCAGCATAATAATGAAGAAACCCTGCAATCTCCATCATCATGAATTTTCAGACAACTGAGAATAAAGGGCAGATTTAGTTGGTTTTGAAATCATGTCCAGAACTGTTCCTTGCTGTGGACTGAAATAACCATGAGGAATTTTTCTTCAAATAGTCTCTTCTTTTATCACCATCTTCCATCCTCTTGCCCTTTGAATTCTGCTCACCACACATAAGCCAAATCCTTTTGTATTCCAGCAAAATTTGCCAGATTCAGGAAATTCATTAACAGAGCAGAATTCTACCCAGAAAAGTCTGGAGCCAACTGCATCTTGGTCTTGACGAATGCAGATGATAAACTTCAGCCCCCTCATCCTTTTAAGTTCGTAATTCAATTGGAATATAAAGGTGTCTTTCTTTTGAAAGGCTATTTTTCAAACTCTCTAATGAAAAAGCTAGGAAATATTGCTACTCATTCTTCCTTTCCTCCCCAGGCAAAGAGCATTCCTCCGCTCTGAACAGATGGGGCTCTGTGTGATAAATAGCTCAGTGTTCCAGGGAGCCCTGGATGGCACTGACATCTTGTCCCCGTATTCATAGGCTGGGCTGTCCCTCTCCTCTTGTTGCTCTGCTTAGGCTGGACCAGTGTCCAGGCAATGGAACGACAGGACTAGTTTCAGCCACCTGGTGTTCCAGGACAATGATGAGCAGGGTGAGCATCTTCTGGAAGGGACTGAGGAAGGTAGAGGGTAGAGGGACAGAGCCCCTCCTGCCTGGCACTGTCTTCATGCTCACCATGCTAATATTTCAGGCTCTGCCTGCTGCCGTTAATTATTATTCCCAAAGGACTCGGCTGCATTTCCATTTGCAGAAGCAGCTATAATGAAGGGCCTGATAGTGCGCATGCCGTGTGCACACACACACATGTACACACACACACACTCACATGCTCACCGCAGTCCCTACTCTTCAGCCACCTCCTGATTGACTTTCTTTGAAGCTCTCTCCTTCCCCATTGTGACCATATTGTCAGTCATCACAGAATGAGAAGTCACCTGGGTCTTAACACCAGCGGATGCGCTGTGCTAATGATTTCACCGCCCTGCACAGTTCTTAGAACACAGCTCACCTGGCATCAAAGCCCCTTCTGCATGTTCTGGCAGACCAGGGCAGGCTGGCAGTGCTGCCTTCCAAATGCCATTAAGCAGCAGAAAGAACAAAATCATTCTGGAGTAAAGTTACAAGTTTTCAGCCCTAAACCTGCGATTTGCAGGTTTCTGAGCCTCCTCTTCCTCCTCCTCCTCCTCTTCTCCTTCTTCCTCTTCCTCCTCTTCCTCCTCCTTTTCAAAATCTTTCTCAATGCTGGTTTTGTTTTGTTTGGTTTGGTTTGTTAGTTTAAATTTTTATTGGTACAATTCAGGTGTACATAATGATCATATTCATTGTAGGGAGTTTGTACCTCTATATCATATATCTCAATTCCTCTCCCCACCAATCCCACACCCTCCCTTTAAACCCCCTTCCCCTCCCTATTCACAAAGCTTGCTTTCATTTATCCTTCTTTTCTCATTTTTTCTTTCCCTTCATTCCTCCCTAGTTTCTTTTTTTGAAGTTTCTTCCTATTTCACAGTATCCATTGTACATTTTGATTCTTATGTACATTTTCAGTTTCTCACACCAGAGAGGAAATATGATATTTATACATGTGTGTCTGATTTATTTCACTTATGATTATGTTCTCAAGGTTCATCCATTTAGCTATAATGTCTCAATTTTTTCTTTATGGCCGAGTAATACTTCATCAGATAGAAAAAAGAAAACACATCTTTTTTGTCCATTCTTTGGCTGATGGGTATTTGAGTTGTTTCTAAGATTTAACTATTACAAATTGTGCCACTATAAATGTGGGTGCACATATATCACTGGAGTGTGATGCTTTTTAATCCTTCCAGGAAGATACCCTGAAGGGGAATAACTGTGTCAATTGGGACCTCCTAGTTTTTTGAGGCATTTCCACACTGATTTCTACAGTGGTTGCACCAGTGTGCACTCCCACCAACAATGGAGAAGGGCTCCTTTCTCCCCACAGCTCCACCAGCATTTGTTATTGGTTGATAATAACAATTATTTCTGGAATGAGATGGAATTTCAGCATTGTTTTAATTTTCACTTTTCTTATGAACAATGATGTTGAATTTCTTTTATGATTTGTCATTTGCACTTCTTCTGAGAAGTGTTTATTCATCTCTGATGTCTATTTTTGGATTGGGACTTTGAATTTGGGGAGTATGTTTTTTAGTTCTTTATATGTCCTAAATAGTAGTCCTTTGTCCGAAGAACAGTAGCAAAAATATTTTCCCACTCTATGGATTGTCTTTTTACTTTGTTGGTGATTTCCTTGGCTGTGCAGAAGCTTTTTAATAAAATGAGATCCTAGTTGTGGATTCTTTGTGATAATTCTTGTATGATTGGGGCTTCAGTCATAAAAATTCTAAATAACCCAATATCAATCAATGAAAATATAATTGAAAACCTACCAACAAAGAAAAGCCCAAGTCTGATGGATACACAGCTGAGTTCTACAAGAAATTTAGAGAGGATCAAGTGCCATTACTTCTCAAACACTTTAACGAAATTGAAAGAGTAGCAAATACTCCCAAACTCTTTCTTGGAAGCAAGTATTACTCTGGTGGGGACTGGGGATTTAGCTCAGTGGCATAAGCATCTGCCTGGAAAGTGTGAGGTCATGAGTTTGATCCCCAGTATAAAAAAAAGTATTACCCTGCTACCAAAATCAGAGAATGATCCTACCGAAAAAGAGAACCATAGGCCAATTTCACTGATAGGCATAGATGTAAAAATCCTCAAAAAGTATTGGCAAATAGAATGTAGCAAAGTGTCAAGATTATGTACCATGACAAAATAGGAATCATCCCAGGGATGCAAGGATGGTTCAACATATGCGAATCAATAAATGTATTACATCGTATCAACAGAGCCAAGAATAAAAATCTCATGATCATCTCAATAGTCATACCCAAAAAAAAGTATTTGACAAAGTTCAAAATTAAAAAGAAAATCAGAATAGATGACCTTTATTTCCATCTAATAAAAACCATCTATGACAAAACAATAGGCAACAACACTTGATGATCAAACACTGCAAGCTTTCACTCTAAAATCAGGAAGAAGGCAAGAGTGACTACTATCATGCCTCCTGTTCAATATAGTTCTGGAAACACTGACCACAGGAATTAGACAGGAGAAGGAAATAAAAGGGATAAAGACAGGAAAGGAAAAAATTAAATTATCATTATTTACAGATGACATGATATGATATTACAGATGACATGACTACACAGAAGATCCCAAAACTCCACCAAAAGACTTGTAGATTTAATATCCAGATTCAGTTGCATAGCTGGATACAAAATCAATTCTCAAAAATCAGTAGCATTCCTGTACATAAATGACAAACTCACTGAGAGAGAAATTAGGGAAACAACACCTTCACAGTAGCATTAAAAAAAGGAAAGAAAGATTTAGGAATCGATCTAACAAAGAAAGTAAAAGATCACTACATTGAAAACTACAGTATCCTGATAAAGGAGATTTAAAGGGATATTAGAAAATGGAAAGGTATCCCTTGCGCTTGGGTAGGAGGAACCATTTTCATTATGGTGAAAATGGCCATACTCCCAAAATTGTTACGTATATTTAATGCAAACCCAATCAAAATAGCATTAACATATCTCCTACAGAAAACACTCTTAAAATTCATTTGAAATCAAGAGAGAATTAGAATAGCAAAAGTAATTCTGGGCAACAAAGACCAGGCAGAGGCATCACAATCCCTGACTTGAAATTGTACTACGGAGCTACTGTGATTAAAAACAGCAAGGAACTGGCAAAAAATAACTAACTAAATAAACAAATAACTCAGAGTTGAGGATCAATGGAACAGATAGAAGGTGCAAAAATAGTTCCAAATGCTCTCAGCCACCTGATCTTTGGCAAAAGGGCCAAACATGTTCACTGAAAGAAAGCCTCTTTAATAAGTGGTGCTGGAAAAACTGGATTTCCACATGCCCGTGACTAAAACTAGACTATCTATCTATCACCATGCACTAAATTAAAATCAAAATGATCAAAGACCTAAATATTAAAACGCACTAAATATGCTAAATTCAAAACCACTTACAGTTGTGAGTTTCTGAATGTAAATATCTGAGGGTTTCTTTTCTGCTTCTATCTGGCTCCTCATTCGTAAAAATCCATTGAATGAGGACTAATGGCCAAGTACTTGGTATACATGATCTTCAAACACTCATTCCTTAACAGATATTTATAAAGCTCCTATTACTTGTTAACCAAGCTCTGACTGTCCCATAGGGGAGATTCCTGCTCTCATAAATTTCCTCTCGGGTTGTTTAACACATCCAAGGAATATGGAATCCAAGCTGCATGAATCTGAATTTAACACAATTCAGAGGCCCCTTTAAGAAAGAGAATATGGAGACTGGCGGTGTCATTCTATGTAGTGTGTGATTAGCATGTGCAAGGGTCTGGGTTCAATCCCTGGCAAACTCCTACCCCTCCCCACAAAAGGAAGAATGAGAATATACATTTAAATTTACTATGCTAAAACTTATTTATAAATACTATAGAAATTGCAAAAAGTTGTCATAGAGTCCTATCTAAATGAAAGACCTGAGACGTAAGCTTCAGATAGTTCAAAATAAGTTCACCCCTGGAGAAAGGGGTTGTAGGTATCTTGTCTCAACTTTGCAGGTAGACAGCACTCATTTTCCCCTCGTAGATGGCTGACTTGAAGCCAGTAAGGTTGCAAAGAAAGCACGTTCCTTGGCAGTCAAACCAGTGGAGTAGGGCAGTGAGCAGCAGGCATCTGAGTGGAAGTAGTTCCTTCACCACCACGAGACAACGCAGGTTTTGCTAGTAGGTGAAACAGGCTGCCCAGGCATCTCTGCTTCCACCCAATAAGGTGACAGCCACCCCTCAAGGTGTTTATTATAATTATAATCTTACATTGTGGTTTTCATGGGCTTTAAGTACTTGCAGTTTGAATGCTTGTGAATTGCACTGTAGTTGGGCTTATTTAAAGTTGCTTATCTGACTTTCTGTGACTCATAGCTGAAGGAGGATGAATGGACCAGGGCTCCACTTCCTAGACTTTTCTAGACAGAAAAATCTACCATGTGTGTGTTGATGTTGTTTAAAACAAAAAGGTAAGTGTACTGGGGATTGAACTCAGGAACTTCTGCTTGTCAGACAAGCACTTGTGCCACTGAGCCAAATCCCCAGCCCTATCTTTCCTCTTTTCAAGGTGATTGTCTCAGGCATTTTGTTATAGTTATGGAAAGCTAACACACAACTGGATTCTCTACTACTGGTCTTTTCAGAGGCTTTATTTTGCTAGGGTGCATAATTGCTAACCCAGAGAGAATTTTAGGATGCAGCTTCTCCACACCTGTTCCATCTATTTAGCAATGATTTATTGAGGCTTACTATATGCCAGGTTGTGTTCTAGAAGTTGAAGATACAGCACTGAATGAAGAGCTGGAGCTTTCCTTCTCCTTCAGAAGATCGTGCAGGGTCAGTGTTTCATGACTCCACTTTGTTCCCTTCTTCCCTATCTATACAGCCTTTTATAGTCTTTATTATCTTGTCACCAGAGCTGTAAGAGTCCCTTGGCTGTACTATCTTCTACTATCAATACTGTCAGGCAATTCTTGATGATGATAGCGATCACAAACTTCCTCTTTGCAGATAACCCAACTACTCCTTACAACTCTCCATAGAACTGAGAAAAAAATATCTAATCTGCCCAGGGCCATATAGCTTAAAATATGGATCTGGGATTTTAAACTCAAATCTGTCTGAATCCGAAATCCATTCTTGTCACAATACACCATACTGCACTGAATCCTCTGATATGAGCTCCTCTACTACTAATAACATAATCTTCTTCCGATTCCATTTTAACCCTAATCTCAAAAATTGTGCTCCAAAACGATTGGTTAGTGCTTACATGTGATACTTTCATCATCGGCACCTCCTTGGGTGAAACAGACCAGGCTCTGCTAAGCTTTTTGTCTGTCCTGTGTGTGTGTCTTTCTTCAGTCCTGCTCATTTGAACTACTTATAGACATTTTTCAAATATTCCTCTTTGTTTTCAGGGAAACTCACAATAAATTTTTTAAGAAGTATGACCTACATGCTATTTATTACTAGTGGTCTTAGAAATCTGTAATGTATTTTTTGAGGAACCTGGATATCAAAAATCATTAAACCAAAACAAAACAAAATCCCCCATCTAAAGCTGGACATGGTGGCACACACCCATATCACCAGTGCTCAGGAGGGTCACGGTAATTTTGAGGCTAGCTTGGCATCTACAGTGAGCTTGAAGTCAGCTTATATTACATAGCAAGAA